CATGTGTTAGTTTGTGTACACCATGTGTTGGTTTGTGTTCATCATGTGTTAGTTTGTGTACACCATGTGTTGGTTTGTGTTCATCATGTGTTAGTTTGTGTTCATCATGTGTTAGTTTGTGTTCATTATGTTAGTTTGGTGAAGTAAGACGTTACGCCGTCAACAAACGTTTGGTTCTAAATTCAACAGTTTTGTACTGAGGTGCACCAAAAACAGTATGATCGATCATTATCCACTCCTTGAACATCCGGGACTGGATGGCTTTAAACTTCTTAAGCTTCAATGAGAAGAAGTCTGAAGTCATGCTGTTCCATCCCAGTGGCTCACTCATGAACCATGACATTGACCTTTTCTCTCTAGCCCCGCTAGAGAAACAAAAGGTCACTAATCTGGGGGTGATAATGGACCCGTCCTTAAAACTCAACAGTCACGTAAACATGATGGTCAAATCCTGTTTTTTTCAGCTGAGACGGCTGTCTAAGCTGAAACCTATACTCTCCAAGAAGAACCTTGAGACAGTGATCCACACCTTCATAACATCTAGGCTTGATTACTGCAATTCACTTCTGTTTGGAATCAGTCAGTCCTCCATTGCTCGTCCACAACTGGTCCAAAATGCTGCAGCCCGATTTTTAACTGGTACAGGCTATAGAGAGCACATCACACCAGTTTTGGCCTCCCTGCACTGGCTACCCATTCACCTTCGGATCCATTTCAAAATTCTCATGTATGTTTTTAAATCACTGAACAGTTCCGCCCTATCCTATCTCACTGATCTTCTGCAGCCATATGTCCCACCGCGCTCTCTGAGGTCAGCAGACCAGATGCTTCTCTCAGTCCCAGAAACCCGTCGTAAGCTCAGAGGTGACAGGGCTTTCTCTGTTGCAGGTCCACGACTGTGGAATGAGTTGCCACTGAGTGTCCGGCAGGCTCCCACACTCTCAGTCTTTAAGTCTCGCTTGAAGACCCACTTCTATTCGCTTGCCTTTAACACGGTGTGATTTGTTTTGGTCCGGTCTGTACTCTACACTGTTGGCCATTTTAGTTAGTTTCTGCTGCTATTTGTATCTGTATTTTTATTTTATGTTTTCCTGTCCGCTGTACATGTTTGTTTTCTTTTGTACAACACTTTGGTTGGCCTTGTTGCTGTTTTAAGTGCTCTATAAATAAATTGGTATGGTATGGTATGGTAGGAAGCCAAGATAAGTGGTCAATAGCCTCCACATTGCTCCCTAGATTATTTTAAAACCTCAGCCCCATGCCATTTTTGGACTGATAATTCTGAAACTCTGTGAACATCTGTACCTTCTCAGGACCTATGAAAAAGTCTCTTGGAGCCCTGGGCCAAACTCAACAGGAAGTCAGCCATTTTGGGTCAAATGGTCAATTTTGGGCGTTTCTAATGGCACATTTTAACAAACTCCTCCTAGGGATTTTGATGGAATGCCTTCAAACTTGGTTCATATGCCCTTAACACATTGGGGAGTAAAAGTTATCAAAAGCTTGCACTTTCGTATATGTTAAAGGGGCGTGGCCAGGCCTCAAAGTTGAGCTTCATGCCATAAATTTCCAAACGCTACAACTTTCACATTGAAAGACCGAAACGCACCAAACTTGGCATGAGTCATCCCTGTCCAATGCCTGACGAGCCTCTGGGGTCATATTCTGACGTCATCAAGGCCCCACCCCCTCAGAACAGAAGTCACTTGTTTTGCTTGGAATGATTCCTCTCTGACATCCTTGACTGAATCAGGATGATCCTGTGTTAGAAGACATTTAACAAGTTGGTCTGACTTGCTGTAAAGCACAAACCATTTTTGCTGGAAGATGTGGGTGTGGCGGCGTGGCGAATTCAGAAGTGACGCCGTTACAATACATTTGGCTCTAAAGTGCACAGATTTAAGCCAAGGTGCACCAAAAACACTATGACTAATTGTCATTCACCCCTTCAACAGGAATCCATGATAATTGGCCAATAGCCTACACAGCGCCACCTACATTTTTCCTAGAGTTATAGCTCAGTGATACAACATCCGAACTGCAGCAGATTTAATGTCCGTCATCAGTGAGGACTTTCAGACACATTGATGTTGTGGTTTAACATATGACTCTAGTGCGCCCCCTAGATTATTCCAACAGTTATATCTCAATGATACATCATCCTATCCTATTTGTAAATGAGTCCTCGAGGCTCAATGGGATTTACCTGTCTAAATAAAGGTTGAATGAATGAATATGTAACAGATTTATTGTGCGTGATCAGTGAGCACTTATAGACACATTGGTATTGTTCTTTAACATTTGACTCATGTGTGCACCCTACATTATTCCAACAGTTGGATCTCAGTGATACATCATCCGATCTGAACCACATTTTTTATGCATAATCAGTGAGCACGTCTAGACACATTGATATTGTTGTTTAACATTTGACTCTAGTGCGCCCCCTAGATTATTTAATCAGTTGTATCTCAGTGATTTATCGTCCGATCTATGCCAGATTTTGGGTACGTCATAAGTGAGCACTTCTAGACACACTGGTATTGCTGTTTAACTTTTGACTCCAGTGCACCCCCTAGATTATTACAACAGTTATATCTCAGTGAAATATCATCTAATATGTATTTATGTACATGATCTGAGAGCACTTATAGACACATTGATATTGTTCTTTAGCATTTGACTCAAGTGCGCCCCATAGATTATTCCAACAGTTAGATCTCAGTGATACATCATCCAATCTGAGCCAGAATTTTGGTGCATAATCAGTGACCACGTCTACACACATTGATATTGTGGTTTAACATATGACTCTAGTGCGCCCCCTAGATTATCCCAACAGTTATATCTCAGTGAAAGAGCATCCAATATGTACCAGGCATGATGTGAGTGATCAGTGAGCACTTGTAGACACGTTGATATTGTTGATTCATGACATCGCTTAAGCCCCACCTACTCAGAGAAAAAACTGTTGATTATTGGATGACACTTCCAGCTCGGCACTGTGTAAGATATTAGACTGAAACTTTGTTTGCTAACTGTTGATTACCACACGACATGTTGAAAAGCATAAAGGAAGTGCTTGTCAAACATTTGCAACAAAACAACCATAATTCCTGTCTGGAAGGTCAGATTTTGCCTACAGGTCCTTCTCAAAAAATTAGCATATTGTGATAAAGGTCATTATTTTCCATAATGTAATGATAAAAATGAAACTTTCATATATTTCAGGTTCATTGCACACCAACTGAAATATTTCAGGTCTTTAATTGTTTTAATACTGATGATTATGGCATACAGCTCATGAAAACACAAAATGCCTGTCCCAAAAAATTAGCATTTTTCATCCCACCAATGAAAGACAAGTGTTTTTAATACAAAAAACGCCAACCTTCAAATAATCATGTTCAGTTATGCACTCAATACTTGGTCGGGAATCCTTTTGCATGAATGACTGCTTCAATGCGGCGTGGCATGGAGGCAATCAGCCTGTGGCACTGCTGAGGTGTTATGGAGGCCCAGGATGCTTCGATAGCGGCCTTAAGCTCATCCAGAGTGTTGGGTCTTGCGTCTCTCAACTTTCTCTTCACAATATCCCACAGGTTCTCTATGGGGTTCAGGTCAGGAGAGTTGGCAGGCCAATTGAGCACAGTAATACCATGGTCAGTAAACCATTTACCAGTGGTTTTGGCACTGTGAGCAGGTGCCAGGTCGTGCTGAAAAATTAAATCTTCATCTCCATAAAGCTTTTCAGCAGATGGAAGCATGAAGTGCTCCAAAATCTCCTGATAGCTAGCTGCATTGACCCTGCCCTTGATAAAACACAGTGGACCAACACCAGCAGCTGACATGGCATCCCAGACCATCACTGACTGTGGGTGCTTCACACTGGACTTCTGACATTTTGGCATTTCCTTCTCCCCAGTCTTCCTCCAGACTCTGGCACCTTGATTTCCGAATGACATGCAAAATTTGCTTTCGTCCGAAAAAAGACTTTGGACCACTGAGCAACAGTCCAGTGCTGCTTCTCTGTAGCCCAGGTCAGGCGCTTCTGCCGCTGTTTCTGGTTCAAAAGTGTCTTGACCTGGGGAATGCGGCACCTGTAGCCCATTTCCTGCACATGCCTGTGCACGGTGGCTCTGGATATTTCTACACCAGACTCAGTCCACTGCTTCCGCAGGTCCCCCAAGGTCTGGAATCGGCCCTTCTCCACAATTCTCCTCAGGGTCCGGTCACCTCTTCTCGTTGTGCAGCGTTTTCTGCCACACTTTTCCCTTCCCACAGACTTCCCACTGAGGTGCCTTGATACAGCACTCTGGGAACAGCCTATTCGTTCAGCAATTTCTTTCTGTGTCTTACCCTCTTGCTTGAGGGTGTCAATGATGGCCTTCTGGACAGCAGTCAGGTCGGCAGTCTTACCCATGATTGTGGTTTTGAGTAATGAACAAGGCTGGGAGTTTTTAAAAGCCTCAGGAATCTTTTGCAGGTGTTTAGAGTTACGTCGTTGATTCAGATGGTTAGGTTAATAGCTTGTACAGAGAACCTTTTCATGATATGCTAATTTTTTGGGACAGGCATTTTGGGTTTTCATGAGCTGTATGCCATAATCATCAGTATTAAAACAATTAAAGACCTGAAATATTTCAGTTGGTGTGCAATGAATCTGAAATATATGAAAGTTTCATTTTTATCATTACATTATGGAAAATAATGACCTTTATCACAATATGCTAATTTTTTGAGAAGGACCTGTATATGTGTTCAAAATAGTTTTTTAATTTTTTAAATTTAGTGTGTATGGCTTATATTTGGGTGCACCAGGTAGACCAGCAATTACTTTACTATTTTTTTGAAAACATATTTTTAGTAGTCGGCGTGGCCTGAGATGTTCGTCAGTGTTTCTCTGAACTATTTGATAATAAGAAATGTCTTTGTTTTTCTGCAGAGCTGCACCTCCCACTATAACACAGGGACATGGGGTATCGTTCAGGGCCAGCTGAGACCCCTGTTGGCACCCAGAGTTTACACTCTGCCCATGGTTCGCTCTATAGGGAAGACCATGGTACAAGGGAAGAACTATGGACCCCAAATTACTGTCAAACGGATATCCACTCGGTCAGTGCACCACTGGAGTTTGTTTTGAAGATTTTTAAACTTAATTTTGGTTCTAATAACTGTAGTAAAATACACACACAAATGTTTTTGTTCCTGACATTTGTAGTCAAAAACTGGTGCGCAGTAGGATTCAGAATGGATTTGACTGTGGGAGATGTTGTGGTTTAAACAGTTTGTTGGCTTATGATAAATGATTATGGTGTAAACTTTATTTACTTCTAAAGGTGTGAGAATAAAGACACTTGACCTTGACTTTGTTCTCTTGTTTTTCTTTGATGAACTCTGAAATGTCTGTAGCAGGCGGAAATGCAAACCGATCTTTGTGCAGATTGCACGGCAGGTGGTGAAGCTAAACGCCTCAGACCTCCGGCTGCCATCACGAGCCTGGAAGGTCAAACTGGTGGGAGAGGGAGCTGACGATGCAGGCGGGGTGTTTGATGACACCATCACAGAGATGTGTCAGGTATTTACAAAAACATTTCTCCAGAATCTAGCTTTTTCCAGCTCTTTTATTATGTGGATGTTCTGCAGGAGCTAGAGACAGGTGTGGTCGACCTGCTCATCCCCTCCCCCAATGCAACAGCTGAGGTCGGCTACAACAGAGACAGGTGAGGAGTTTAGATCATTTGGTATTGCATAAACCCACTGTCACTGCCCTCAATGTCTAAATCGGCTTGCCTCCTGTGGACGCTTTAGGTTGCTCTTCAACCCATCTGCCTGCTTGGATGAGCACATGCTCCAGTTCAAGTTTTTGGGCATTCTCATGGGCGTGGCCATCCGGACCAAGAAGCCTCTGGATTTGCACCTGGCCCCACTGGTCTGGAAGCAGCTGTGCTGCATCCCACTGCAGCTGGAGGACCTTGAAGAAGTAGACCTGCTCTATGTGCAGACGCTTAAAAGCATTCTTCACATTGAAGACAGCGGTATCACTGAGGACAATTTCCATGAGGTAAATGTTCTCACATTTTCTAGATTCATTCAGGCTGAGTCAGACATTGTGAACAAGAAGAAAACAGATTTTTTTTTTAAATCATGTCATGTTAGCCACAATTGCTGTGGGAGGATAAAAAGTTACAGTAACTCAAATAACTAAGTTACCAAAATAATGAAAACAACCACTTGTACTCCCGTACAGTGGGTGAGTGAGGTTTCTGCAGTAGATGAAATGTCTGTCAAGACCCAAACTTTTATAAGGATTTAAAGTACTCTCTTTAGTTTCATCCATCCATTATCTTCCGCTTGTCCCAGGTTAGGTCTCGAGTGCAGCAGCTTGAGCAGGGAGGTCCAGATATCTCTCTCCACAGCCATCTCTTCCAGCTCTTCTGGGAAGACTCCAAGGTGTTCCCAGACCAACTGAGAGATGTAGTCTCTCTAGTGTATCCTGGATCTTTCTGGAGTCTCCCAGTCAGACATGCCTGAAGCACCTCCCCAGGGAGGCATCCAGGGAGCATACTTACCAGATGCCCGAACCACCTCAACTGGCTCCTCTGGATGTGGAGGAGCAGCGGTTCTACTCCGAATCTCTCCTGCTAACTGAGCTTCTCACCCTGTCTCTAAGGGAGAGTCCAGCTACCCTGCAGAGGTATGCTGGTGAAGATTCTCAGTCATCCAGGACATGATAAATTAAATAAACGTTCAATACAAAAACAACTGGACTTTATTTGTAACAGAAGACGTTTCGCTCCTCATCCGAGGAGCTTTCTGAATTCAAAGAGCAGAGAGTGAGAGATTCAGGTTATAAGGCTGAGTGGGATAAGACACACACACATATGTAGATTTGACAATTCACACCTAAACACCTTAACAGTAGGGGTTTCTTGAGGTCTTTGTTCCTCTAATTCACAGACGAGGCCCCTCTGTTCCCATCAAGTGTGAAAACCGGCTGGGAATCTGTTTTAAAGTTGCATTATAAGTTTTTCAAAGTGGAAATCTGAGGCCTCCTCCTCTGTTAAGAGACGGCTTTTCCCTTTTTACATAAATTGCTTCCTTCACCTTGTAAGAATATGTTCTAATCTGGAGCAGGAAAAGGAGGAGCAGTTGGCTTCCATTTCAGAAGGTTTATTTTACATGTAAAGTACAAGATCACCAGCCCTGGGCCATTGTAACTCCACCATGCGGTCACGAACAATGGCGCCGAGCGTAAGCAGACAACCCATCTAATTCAGAGCTCGGCCACACCTCCTGGAGTCATCATCACCATCAGCGATTGGGAAGTCCTACTCTTACCGTGTGACCCAGCTCTCAACCAATAATATCTCACCATCTTGTGTTCTATAATGGTGGGTGCGTGAATGTTGGGAGTTGTAGGCATGTAGCTGAAACTACATTTTCTACCGGAAACGGAATCAGATCATGTTTTTAACACAATATCATTCTAAATATCAAAACAGGATACATATATCTAGACATTTCATTAAGTTAATATATTATCTGATAAAATTATATTTCAATTCCCCCTTTTGACTTGATAAAAAAATCATGTCAACAAAAATCCTATATGTAATATATCTGTAAAAAGCTATGTGTCATGTAATTACACTTAATGTACAGTGGAAAACACTAACAATTCCCATCCCTTATAATTCCTAGGCCTAAATTAACACCCCTAAACAACATAAACCCTAATAATAAGCTAACATCAATATTGATACCTAACACAGATAAGGAAATATGCCAAAATACAATTTACTCATCGGAGCTCACACTTTAAGATAAACTCCTAATCTTTCCTTCTATAAATCTCATGCCTCTTGTGTATGCAAATTATATGTTGCATGTTTTATTCTTAGCAATTATGTATAACTTGGGGCGTTGCAGAGATTTTGCAGAGGCGGGCTGGTCCGTCTTCGTCCTCGTCATCATCAGCATCACCACCACAGGTAATCTGTAAGGAGCAAAATCTAAACTACTCTGTTGACTAGTTTAATAACTGAGGAAATCTCATCAACTGCTCTTATTCAGAGATGTTTGATATAAGGGGTATGTCAACACTCAGAAAACTAACTATCATAATCTACAATTAACCTGATCAGATCAGAAATCACAAGAGTCCTTCCATAAACTGTCAAACCTATTACCTCCACTATTATTTGTTCTATTACATACACACACAGATATATATATATATATATATATATACATTCAAAAAAACAAAAGCAAAACAAAGCATATATATATATATATATATATATAATTCTGTATGCCAGAATGTTCTAACCTCAAACTCAACACATCCTGTCAGTAAAATCCACAGCTAGTCTGCTCTGATACTCATTAACAAAACTGCAGATAAATTATGGTTTCTGAAGCATCTCTGATTGTATGATTCAACTGCTAAGAATTTAAATGGGTAAAACTAATTATTTCTGGGGGAAATGAGGGAAAACCTCGTACATATTTTCAAAAATCGATCATTTCACAACTGAGAGGATGCAAACGACAACAAACTGCCTTTTTTGGACTGTTTGGTTCAGATGGAGAGAGAGGACAGCCTCAACATTGAAGTTTACAGAAAACCAACCCACACAGACCAGTATCTTCTGTTGGACTCCCACCATCCACTGGAACACAAACTCTCTGTCATCAGAACTTTACAGCATTGGGCCGAACGCATCCCCACAAAGACAGAAGGGAAAGAAAAGGAACAGAAACACATCCAAGATGTTCTCCAAACATGTGAATATCCTAACTGGGCTTTTGTCAAGTCAGCGGGGAAATCTACAAAACACACTAATAAACAGAAAAAGGAGAACAGCAGATGGAAAAACATTATCATCCCTTATGTTGCTGGAGTATCAGAGAAATTCAGAAGGATCTTCAACAAACACAAGATCCCAGTACATTTCAAACCCAGCAGGACTCTCAGACAGAGGCTGGTCCACCCTAAGGACAGAACACCCATACACAAACAGAGTGGTGTAGTGTATGCGGTCCAGTGCAGCGAGGACTGTCCAGACCTCTACATTGGAGAAACTAAACAGCCTCTTCACAGACGCATGGCTCAACACAGGAGAGCCACCTCCTCTGGACAAGACTCAGCTGTTCACCTCCACCTCACAGATAAGGGACACTCTTTTGAGGACCAAAATGTGCACATTTTGGACCGAGAACACAGATGGTTTGAGAGGGGGGTGAAGGAAGCAATTTATGTAAAAAGAGAAAAGCTGTCTCTTAACAGAGGAGGAGGCCTCAGATTTCCAAGTTTAAAAACATATAATGCAACTTTAAGACTGATCCCAGCCGGTTTTCACACTTGATGGGAACAGAGGGGCCTCGTCTGTGAATTAGATGAACAAAGACCTTTGGAAACCCCCTACTGTTAAGGTGTTGAGGTGTGACTTGTCAAATCTACATATGTGTGTGTGTGTCTTATCTCACTCAGCCTTATAACCTGAGGGTGCATTCACACCAGCCCTGTTTAGTCCGCTTTAATCAAACTCTAGCTTGTTTTCCTAGAAAGTCTGGTTCGTTTGGGGAGGTGTGAACGCGCCATCGAACTTTGTCACGGAACAAAAAGGCGAACTCTGGCCCGGGCTAAAACCTAGGTCTCGGTCCGGTAGAAGAGAACTCCAGCGCGGTTCCAGTACAGTGTGGATGTAAACAGACCGGGCCCCGTTCCACAAGCAAGAAGTGGAGTACAGCGCAGGACAAACAAACACATTTCTCTTAGCTCATATGGAGCCGTCAGCTGCCTTGTGTGAAAAACAATATTCTCCATGTTCTTCTGTCTCATCTTCTGCTCATGCTGAGTCCATTGTTGAAAAATTACAAAATATAACTCCTCAAACTGCTAAAACTTGATGCCACTCTGTTTATGTTTTTATTTCCAGAAGAAGAAGAAGAAGACGTGTCTTCAGAGGTTTTTGTGTTGTTTCTTTCAGTAGTTCTTGGTGCAGCGCCCCCACAGGCGAGCGGGGGAACAGGTTGGTTCAATAGGTTGGCTTGATTGCACAGTGCAGTGTGAATGCAAACGCACCAGCTCAAATGTAAACAAAAGGTCATGAATATTGGTCCCCAACCGAACCTAGCCTACCGGACTATCAGGTGTGAAAACAACCTGAATCTCTCACTCACTGCTCATTGAATTGAGAAAGCTCCTCGGATGAGGAGCGAAACATCTTCTGTTACAAATAAAGTCCAGTTGTTTTTGTTTTGAACACTTTTTGAACCATGCAGAGGAAACTCATTTCAACTTCTTGTATCCACGATCTCATTCTTTCAGTCACTACCCAGAGTTTGTGACCAGAGGTGAAGGGAGGAACGTAGACGGACTGGTAAACAGAGAGCTTTGCCTTACAGCTCTTCTCCCTCTTCACCACAGTGGACCAGCCCAGTTTGTAGTACTGCAGAAGCTGCACCAATCCGTCTGTCCATCTCATACTGAAGAGAGTAATCCACCCTTTTCCGACTGAGGACCATGGCCTCAGATTTGGAGGTGCTGATTCTCTTCTTAGTTTCCTAAAAGTGTATCATTTTAGATGAATTACATTGCCAAGGTAACTAAAACATGCCATTATAATAAAAAAAAGTCCTTGCTCAATAATCCAGGTATACAATCCAACAATTTTCAGTCATCTGGACATTTTCTTTTTTTGCTTGGGCCGGCACAAGAGAAGGGGGCGTGCCAAAGACACCATCTTAGCACCAACATAACTGGTTTGTTCCACTTTGGAGTAAGGCCCTACTTACACGGACACGATGGGGGGGAACGTAGGTTTTTTCATATGTTAATTAGAGGAAAAGATTTGCGTTGACACGGTTGGATTTTGTGTTTACATGCATCCGCACGCATCCCCCCCCGCCCTCCCGAATCCGCTGTAGTTACCATACCGGGCCATTAGATGGTGCTGTGAATTTTGTACATTCACCTAATGCAAATGCGTGCTGCCTCGGCACGCTCCTTTCCTCTGGGCTAAAAGTTCAGCTAACAACAACTTAACAAGTTAAAGCTGGATTTTGGATAAGAGTCGACAGATTTGACGCCAAGCGGGACCGCTTCATCTAACAGCTCCACATCGGTCGCTGAGTGGACCAGAACCGAGTCAACAATGTCGGACTTTACTCCGTGATAATCAGCAGCTGTTTTACAGCAGGTAAATCAACATTCCTAATAATGTTTGTTTGTGTTTACTTCGATCACACAACAACCAGCTGAGTTTTTATTTTTCCTGAAAGAAGAAGAAGCTGTCCTTCCACCAGGCGGACTGGTTCTGAACGAGGCTCGGCCCAGGTGCAGTGCAGGAGGACGTCCAAGAGAGTGATGTTGGATGAACTATTTATTTAAAATTCCCCTCATTCTTTTATTCAGTCCATTGAATGTTTTAAGCTGCATTAATCAAATGAGTGACAGCTTGAACGAGCCAGATGAACAACGTGTCGCCAGTATATCCAGGATGAAAACAAGAGTCCAGTTCATTCATGCAGTTTACAGTTAACTTGTTTTTTATGTGTTCAGTTTAATTATCAGTGTTTGTGTGACATACAGTTTTGGTGTTGAATAAATAAATAAATAAAAAATTAAACCTGATGTCTTCATTTTCAACTTTAGTAACACGCAATATGTTTAGCATCATTTTAAATTTGAATCACATAATGTCCAGATAGCTTCATTTAGCTCAGAGCTTCATTATATCTCTCACACTAACATAAATACTGTTTATTATTATTAAACTGTTATTATTTAGCACATTTAGATGTTATAGTGCAGCGTGACGTGTGCACGTGCCTCGTTCTATTAACAGCGACATTAGAACTGGATCAGACTGTGTCTCTTCCAACACAGATGTTGGTCACAGCAGCTGGGATCTAACGTAGATTAACTACGAGATTAAAAATATATTCCATCAGTCCTAGTTCAGAAAGTACTATCCGCCGCCATGTTGATAGAAATATAACGTCCGTCCGCGCATGCGTGCGTGTGCGCATGTGGTTTAACCCAAAGCCTCAGTGGGAGATCAGAGTCAGAGTTTCTTTATTGTCATTCGCACCTCATGTGGTACATGTGGTGGAATGAAATTATGTACACGGGGTCCCAGTTACATCCAACAATAAAATGTATAAGAAAAACAGTAATAACATCTAAGATATGAACTAAGAAAAACATCAACTAAATATACACTAAGCACTCATAACATAAAACATTGAACATCAGCACAAACATGAGATGTTGAACAGGAGATGTTTACATTATCAGCATGGGGTCAGAGAAAAACCTCCAATCTGGAAGGTGGATTCAGAAACCTCCGGATTCAAAGAGGGGGGCCACTGGTGTCGTGTAAGGGTGCATTCACACCTGATAGTCCGGTAGACTCGGTTCAGTTGGGGACCAACATTCATGACCTTTTGTTTACATTTGAGCTGGTGCGTTTGCATTCACACTGCACTGTGCAGTCGAGTCAACCTGTTGAACCAACCTGTTCCCCCGCTCGCCTGTGGGGGCGCTGCACCAAGAACTACTGAAAGAAACAACACAAAAACCTCTGAGACACTTCTTCTTCTTCTTCTTCTGAAAATAAAAACAAAAACAGAGTGACATCAAGTTTTATCAGTTTTAGGAGTTATATTTTGTCATTTTTCAACAATGGACTCAGCATGAGCAGAAGATGAGACAGAAGACCATGGAGAATATTGTTTTTCACACAAGGCAGCTGACGGCTCCATATGAGAGAAACGTGTGTTTGTTTGTCCTGCGCTGTACTACACTTCCTGTTTGCGGAGCGGGGCCTGGTCTGTTTACATTCACACTGTACTGGAACCGCGCTGGAGTTCTCTTCTACCGGACCGAGACCTAGGTTTTAGCCCGGGCCAGAGTTCGATGGCGTGTTCACACCTCCCAAAACGAGCCGGACTTTCTAGGAAAACGAGCTAGAGTTCGATTAAAGCGGACTAAACAGGGCTGCTGTGACTGCACCCTAAATGATCAGCAGAACCGCAGAGAGAAAGCTGCGGATTCACTCAAAATATGCTCCGTGTAAATGGCCCCTAAGCTGTTTGGGGGAAGAATCAGTTTTGTGTTGTGTGTTTCCTTGACTGATGAAGCCTTCCGGATGGAAGGTGAAACGTTCCAGAAAAAAAAAAAAAAACTGTCCAGATGACCTGACTGAAAATTGTTGGATGCCATTATAATAGCACACTTAATGCCAAGCTCATTTTAATTTACGTTTTGAGGGTGCAGTCTTCGGTTCACGCTGCATTAAAGATGATGAAGATATAAATAAAGAAACATGTTTAGAGGTGGAGAATAATATTTGCCTCCTCTGAAATGCATAGTTGTAGCAGGCACATCATTTTTCAGTCTGTGTTTGTCTTCAGCAACATAATGAAACTTTTCCTAATTATTTCTATGTGTTTATAACATTTTTGACGTTAAAAACGTCAATTTGTTTGATGTAGCTGCAGAATTTCTTTTATTTATTTGTATCAGAAATGCCTTTGTTATTTTGAAGCTCATGAAGGCTCTACTCTGTTGTGATTGATTGCAAATGGATGCTGAAGACAGCTAAATATGTTGGTTTTAATGCAACTGGTCAACTGTTTAAACAAGCCACAGGACTTTAAAGGAAAGTAATCTTATCTGAGAGCGTAAAATCCCATTCGATTCTTACGTTTGTTTTTTAGATGATTCCTCTGGATTCCTTCATTGGACAGAGTGCGGACGGTAAAATGGTACCCATCATCCCAGGAGGAAACAGCATCCCTCTGACTTTCTCCAACAGGAAGGAGTATGTGGAGCGAGCCATTGAGTACCGGCTGCATGAGATTGACCGACAGGTAGACTCTGACTCACAAGACATCACAAGTTCTGTTCATTAAAAAAAAAAAAAAAAAATTCAATTCAATTCAGTAGGAGCGCAGATAAAAATTGATTTATTAAAGAATCTAGATTCCTAGTCCTGGTGATTCTGAATCGATTCTAAAGGCCCATAAATTGATTTTAAAACACGTTAAAGTTTTATTTTTTTCCGCTCCTACTCCAGAGCGTACTGCATATCACATTACATGTCCGCTCAACTGCAGTATAATTGAACCATGTAGGCCACCGTACAGCAAGCTAGTTAGCCAGCTCCCTTTATCTGAATGGAGTCTGCTAGCATGGAGCGGGAGGACAGCGTGATTCAACCTGCTCCTACGTCTTTAAAAATCATTTCAGATCCTACAATGCTCTGGAGAAAGACAGAGCTTAACAAGAGCACGGTTGTTTACAAGAAGTGTAAAATAAAATTACAGTACAGTATTTTGGGAATACAACAAAATGTGTGAAAGATGAAAGAGAAGCAGCCGACCAGCAAAACTCTGCAACAAACTTCCAGCTGATTCCCCAAAGGCTGTGAAGATTTCCCTCTCCATCTCCTACTATATCACAAAGGATTTATGAGCAGACAGCTCAGTCGAAGGCGAGGGATTTAGGTTTATTTTTAATACGCTGGACCAACGAATGTTATTCTTTCACGTAGCTTTTTAGTGATAAAGCTACGCCACAACTCCACCATGAAACAAAAATAAAGTGGGAGAAGCTGCATCAGTGCAGCTGCACCACAAAGGTAACTGTTTTTTCTCATATTATTCTAAAACTAATAGACAAGTTGTACAATAAACTTAATGTAATTTGTCTTTTTAACAGGTTGAAGAGGACAGATAAGACACATCACCTGGAGCCAGTTCTAAATGATACAGTTTATGGTTTATAAATTACAGTTCATAAGAGATTTTGTGCAGACTTTCACAGGTTTTGAAATTTTGTTAAAGATTTACCAAATATGAATCAATATGGGTAAAAAAACTGTGAAGTCTCTATTTTATTTTGAGTTAAAGGTTAATGCACTATGGTAGGCTGAAGTCTTTTGTTTACTTTTGTATTTATATATTTTGAATTATTTGTCTGTGATGGATTGGAAACCTGTCCAGGTGTCCCCAACCTCTCGCACAGTGATGGCTGGACATGGGCATCAGTGACCCCCGTGACCTGTAAAGGAAAAAGTGGGTAAAGCAATGTGGTTTTGGTCCTGGTCGTGGAACCATGGACAAGCACTACACCCTCAGCAGGGTCCTGGAGAGTGCGTGAGAGTTTGCCCAACCGGTCTACATGTGCTTTGTGGACTTGGAGAAGGCGTTCGACAACGTCCCTCGGTCAACCCTGTGGGGGTACTCAGGGAGTATGGGGTACCAGGCCCTTTGATATGGGCTGTTAGGTCCCTGTATGGCCAGTGACAGAGCTTGGTCCGCATTGCAGGCAGTAAGTTGGGCTCGTTCCTGGAGTTGGACTCTGCCAAGGTTGCCCTTTGTCACCGATTCTGTTCATAAGTTTTATGGACAGAATTTCTAGGTGCAGCCAAGGTGTTGAGGGGATCCGTTTTGCTGGCCTTAGGATCACTTCTCTGTTTTTTGCAGATGATGTGGTCTTATTGGTTTCATCAGCTCGTGATCTACAGCTTTTGTTGTAGCGGTTCGCAGCTGAGTGTGACGCGGCCGGGATGAGGATCAGTTGCTCCAAATCCAAGGCCATGGTCTTGAGCCAGAAAAGGGTAGAGTGCTCTTTCTTGGTCGGGGAGGAGGTCCTGCCTCAAGTGGAGGAGTTCAAGTATCTTGGGGTCTTGTTCACGAATGAGGGAAAAATGGAGCGTGAGATCGATAGATGGATAGGTGCAATGTCTTCAGTGAAACGGGCGCTGTACTAGTCTGTCGTGGTGAAGAGAGAGCTGAGTCAAAAGGCGAAGCTCTCAATTTACCAGTTGGTCTACATTCCTATTCTCATCTATGGTCATGAGCTTTGGGTTGTGACCAAAAGAACGAGATCATGGATACAGGCGGTCAAAATGAGTTTTCTCTGCAGGGTGTCTGAGCTCTCCCTTAGTGATAGGTTGAGAAGCTTGGTCATCTGGGAGGGACTCAGAGTAAAGTTGCTGCTTCTCCACATCGAGAGGAGCCAGTTGAAGTGGCTCAGGCATCTGGTTAGGATGCCTCCTGGACGCCTCCCTGGTGAGGTGTTCCAGGTACGTCCCACTGGGAGGAGACCCAGAGGAAGACCTAGGACACGCTGGAGAGACTGTTTCTCGGCTGGCCTGGGAACGCCTTGAGATTCCCCCGGAAGAGCTGGCCCAAGTGGCTGGGGAGAGGGAAGTCTGGGCCTCCTTACTTGGGCTGCTACCCCCACGACCTGAACCCGGATAAGCGGAAGAAAATGGCTGGATGTAAGGATAGAGGTTGGATGTGATGGGCAGGAGAAAGATACATTTTGGAAGGATCTGGATGAAGTGATAGAGAGTATTCCCAGGGAGGAGAGAGTGGTGATCGGAGCAGACTTGAATGGACATGTTGGTGAAGGAAACAGAGGGAATGAGGAAGTGATGGGTAGGTTTGGTGTCAAGGAAAGAAACCAGGAAGGACAGATGGTGGTGTATTTTGCCAAGAGAATGAAAATGGCTAAAGTCAACACTTATTTCCGAAAGAGGGAGGAGCATAGTGACCTATAAGAGTGGAGGAAGGAGTACGCACGTCGACTACATTCTGTGTAAAAGAGGAAACCTGAAGGAGATTAGGGACTATAAGGCTGTGGCAGGGGAGAGCGTGGCCAGACAGCATCAGATGGTTGTGTGTAGAATGACTGTTGTTGTGAAGAAGAAAAAAAGAGGAAAATCAGAGGGAAAAAAAAAACAAATGGTGGAAGATGAAGAAGGAAGAATGTTGCGAGAAATTCAAAGAGGAGCTGATAAAGGCTCTGGGTGATAAAAAAGAGCTTCCAGATGACTGGACTACTACAGCAACAGTAATTAGAGAGACAGGTAGGAAGGTACTTGGTGTGTCATCTGGACAGAGAATGGATGATAATGAAACCTGGTGGTGGAATAGTGAAGTGCAGGACACCGTTCAAAGAAAGAGGTTAGTTAGCCAAGAAGAAATATGACAGCGAGAGGACAGAAGAGAGAAGACAGGAATATAAGGAGATGGGACATAGAGCAAAGAGGGAGGTAGCTAAGGCAAAGCAGAAGGCATTTGATAAGTTGTATGGGAAGCTAAAGAGAGCGAGAAGGACTTGTACTGATTGGCAAGACAGAGAGATCAGGCTGGATGTGCAGCAATTTAGGTTTGTTAAAAATAGGAATGGTAATGTTGTAACAAGTGAGGAGAGTGTGACAGAAAGATGAAAGGAGTACTTTGAGGAGCTAATGAATGAAGAGAATGAACGAGAAAGAAGAGCAGAGGTCATATAAACTGGACCAGGAAGTGTGAAAGATTAGTGAGGGTGAAGTACAGAAAGCTCTGAAAAGAATAAAGGGGAAGGCAGTAGAACCTGATGACGTACCAGTTGAAGTTTGGAAATGTCTTGGAGAGATAGATGGCTGTGAGGTTTTTGACTCAAATATTCAATGGCATATTTGAGGGTGAGGCCTGAGGAATGGAGAAGAAGTGTGCTGGTGCCCATTTTTAAGAACAAGTGGGATGTACAAAGTTGTAGCAACTAGGGCATTAACAGAGTACTTGAGTAATCTACACATCGATTGCTAGGACATCTATCGAGGTTAAAAATGTAACATCGAGTATCCATAGTGACGTCATATTATGTGACCACCGTATGACCGTAGGGGGCGGTGTTGCACTGTTGCAGGTCACAGAGTATGGTGTAACACTTGGTCCAATCCACTGAACCAGAACCAGCTTCCTCTGACCTTGTTTCACAAACAAAAAGCAAAAAAATATTCATCTCTAAACCTATAAAAAAAAAATCTATAAACATATTAACCTCTAAAACTAAACTTAATGCGCACCACAGCTGGCAGTGGTGCGGGGTGGTCGACCCCCCCCCCCACTGTTAAGTTTCGTTTTTGACGTGCTGCATGTTTCTTCACGTTTGCAGTTTAATAATAATAACTAATAGTTTAGTTTTTCCTGTGACTTATTTGCAGTATGATAAATGGTAGGAGCATAATATATGCCCCCCAATGTTTTGTTGTTCTTTTTTTGTAAATAATTACCTTTTTTTGCGGTTTTATTTATTTATTTATTTTTGTATCTTGAGATCTATGACGTCATCAAATACTCGAGTATTAAGGGAGGAGGTGTGGTATTGCATGAGGAAATCTGGAGTGGCAGAGAAGTATGTTAGACTGGTACAGGACATGTATGAGGGCAGCAGGACAGTGGTTAGATGTGCTTTAAGAGTGACAGATAGCTTCAAGGTGGAGGTGGGACTGCATGAAGGATCAGCTCTGAGCCCCTTCTTGTTTGTTCTGGTGATGGACCAAATAACAGATGAGGTCAGGCAGGATTACAAATTCAAATCCAATTCAATTCATAAATACTTTATTAATCCCAGAGGGAAATTAAATGTTGTTGTAACTCAATTCAATTCAGTTTATTTATATAGCGCCAAATCACAAAAAGTTGTCTCAGGGCACTTTACAGAAACATTCACATAAAAGCCAATTAGTAAAGTTCTCTATCTAAGGAATCCAGCAGACAAGTTGAATCTTGGCTTCATTGCAGTCTCCCATCCTTTTTTTTTTTTCTTTTTGTTGAGCTCAGTTTAAGTGTAGAAACATTGTGAAATGTTTCAATGAACTTATCATCATCGTTCATTTTTTTTATTTATTTATTTATTTATTTTAATTTATTTATTTTTTTAAAGAAAGAGAAGAAAGAAGAATAAATAAATAATAAGAGAGAAATAGATAAGACGAGAGACCACCATGACAAAACAACATGCACAGCACAATGCCACCCACAATATCACCATGAAACATTCGACATTGCACAAGGAATCATCTAGCTTCCAC